AAAGCTGAGCAAAAAGCAGTGTGCAGTAATAATAATAAAAAAAACACCAACCTCAACCAGAAACATGAAACCATGTGCAATACTTCATTAGCCAACTCACACGCTGCGTATTCTTTATACAAGAAAAGCTGCTGCTGGAACACAATTTCTGGGTTCCTCTTCTAAATTGAGCCCAAAAAATTTTGCTTATCTACTTTTAAAACTGATAAAGCACTCAAATTCTGAGTCTGATGTCTAAGACCTATCATTATTCAAGTACACGTACCCAGTAAGTAGGGTTTATAGCAGAACTCATAACAGCTTCTACATTTGTGGGGTAATTTATGAAGTTGGTACTTTGTAGCAGAAAGGAACTGAAAACGGTTCAAGTGGCCAAAAGGAATAAACAGCTCTGTTTCTGAAGCTTGTGTTTCCATGCAAAATCTTATAGCACAGAACATTAGCAATTAAAATACAAATGAACAAATGTTATTTCTGCTTTTACATGCCAAGAGTACTGGCTATACCTCCATTTTCAAACATGAATTATTACTTTTATCAAGCACAAAAGGCAAAAAATATTTTGGAAAGTCAGGACATTCTAATATTCATTTAAACATTCACTTAAGTTTGTTTCCAATGCTTTTCAAATTCACACTGTAACTTTAAAAATCTGTTTGTTTTTTCTAGCAAATTACAAGGAAAAAATAAAAATATGATGATCCTCAAGGCTGTGACATCTTACTGGAAAAGTTGTTACTGTTAAAATTGCAATAGTGTATCACTAAATTAATTTTTTATTCTTTTGATGATAATGCTCTGAGGGCTGGAGCCCCTCTGCTATGGGGACAGGCTGAGAGAGTTGGGCTTGTTCAGCCTGGAGAAGAGAAGGCTCCGGGGAGACCTTATACCACCTTCCAGTGCCTGAAGGGGCTACAAGGAAGCTGGGGGGGGCTTTTTACAAGGGCCTGTAGTGACAGGACAAGGGGTAACGGGTTTAAATTGAAAGTGGAGAGGTTTAGATTAGATATCAGGAAGAAATTCTTCCCAGAGAAGGTGGTGAGGCACTGGGACAGGTTGCCCAGAGAAGCTGTGGATACCCCATCCCTGGAAGTGTTCAAGGCCAGGCTGGATGAGGCTTGGAGCAACCTGGTCTAGTGGAAGGTGTCCCTGCCCATGGCAGGGGGGTTGGAAGTAGATGGGCTTTAAGGTCCCTTCCAACCCAAACCACTCTATGATTGAGACTATGATAAATACAGATTTATTAACTTTAGACACCAATGCAAATCCACATATATAATCAAATGATGCTTTTCCATAAACACACAGGCTAAGAAAAAAGTAAAGCTACAATTGTCTGAAAACATTGTTTAAATAACACGATTTATAATACATCTGCAGGATTCTTACTCAAACATCATACAATTGAGCATTTATTCAGCATTTTACTTCTTATATAAGAGCAGAGGAGAAAGTGTTCCTTGCCAACTGGCAAACTAATAGCACTGCAACAGCTACCAGGGGCGATCATTTTTCTTTGAGCTTGAACAGTACCACAAATCAAAGCTTTTAGAAGCAGCCTGTTTCTTCCACTAAAAAAAAAAAAAAAAAAAAATAAATAAAAAAAAACCACAAATAAAAATAAATGTCCATAAGCCAGAAAAATTACAAATTAAATGACTCCCTCTCTCCACTCAAACTATTCTACCTCCCTCAAAACATAACTAGTCCCTCTAAATCAGGATTTTCTTCAAAACCACCACTGTCTATACTGGTCAGAAACCCTCTTCCTTCCCTGTTATCTGGGTCTACTTGGGAAAGAACAAATAATTTCTGGTTTTGTCTCCTTTCAAATTAGTTTTGTGCCTGAGAAGCTGAGGTCTTCAGTCATTTACTTAAAAGTGTAGTGGATGTTCGCTAGAAAATGTGTATGAGACATGACACTGCCCTGAAAACCTTCCAATCTAATTCTGGTTATTAGCTAAAGTTTTAAATACTTGACGTAAATGAGAACAAGATCAATTCTTGCAATAGAAGAAAGTGTAGTTACATCACATCTGCAGATATTTGTAACAAGACAGTAACCACTCTTTTTCCATGGGTCAAATTTTATGGTTTTGGTTTTGCCTTTTTTTCTTAAAAGAGTGGTAGTGCTTTCCAATGGTTTTCATATATATATATGATATAAGCAAGCAACAAACTAATTGCATTTGATGTCACTTTCAACAGTATTTACTATTCAGTTCTGGCACTGTGCATAGAATGTTTCCACTGTAACTGGTTTACTTTATTTTTAATTAAAAGGTAGACTGCATAGTTAGTATAGTAAAAATAATTAGGATATTAATTACACTCAGTGCAGCAGTATTTAATCTCTCTCATCATAATCTTATGGCAAGACAATTTTAAAACATCTTGTAGCACGAACACAAACCATTTTAGGTGTTGAAAGATGTTCAGTCGTCCTCACGTGCATGAAGTCTTACGTGCAGGAGCACACAACAAATTCCTCACTGTCAATACTTCAGACAGCCAGGTTTGTGCCCCTGAATTTCCCTAGGTATTCACATTCTTCAAGGATTAGAACTCAGGCCCACATCCCATCATAACACTCCCTCTAACAGGCTCTGACTCTGGCCTTGTGAGTTTGTCTCTGTGGCAGTACAACTTCAAAAGGAGGTTTACAGAGCATCTCTCCCACCCATCCCCTTCCTCTCCATTCCAAAGCCCCGATGGTCAGCACAATATTGTGGGTGTTATGAAATGTGGTCTTTATTTCTCTCTGGCTATGGGCAGACCATCACCCGAGTCCCAGCATCCATCATGATCCGTACTGAGAAAGCTGACTGTCCCACTCCAGTTTCTCAGATCATCAACTCTTCTGGCTACAGCTGCAATGCTACTTTGGTAGATCATTGTGAAATTGCAAAGAGGACATATGTGCAAAAGAACAAGATGGTTGGCTGAACAAGTTCTGTGTATGCTTGGCCCGGGCTATTTTATTCTGTTGTTTCAGCCCCAAAAAGCCTTTCAACCATGCAAAAGGCTCCTTCAGGCACTGCCACGATAGATAGTGTAGTGGCAGTGCTCTAGCTGCACCACTTCCTTAGCTAGTCAAATCCAAGATGAGCCTATATATCCCTCCAAGTTACTCTGTATGAAGTTACCTTGAATACAAGAGCTCACAGCTAGGCCACCTAGTACTGTCCAACTACTTGCACGTGGTTTTTTTCCTGCTGTGTTCTTCAAACTGTCCTGTATGGTAAGATACATATTGGTATAAACGCGCCGTTCAGGGAAACAAACAAGCTACTCCCTATATAACACTTTAAAGATCTTACCAACTTTGATGTTGGAATACCCAGTTCAAGAAACTGACACCTGGAAGTCAGAGGCAGGAATTCACAGTAAACCTCAACACATTCGTATTAGAGGTGCTACTTCGCTAATTAGCATAGACAATAACTTAGGAATTTAATATCTATATAGCTTCAGATATTTTAGTTTTATCTTATACAGGAAACTGAGGCATACCACATAAGACATCTTTTGAAAGAATATATTGATTTACTATCTCAGTGCGTGATCCACTGTCTAAACCCTATCAACAAATTCTCTTGAATTATGTAAACGGGACACTTAGCACCTGCAGCAGTGGACAGTCCTTTCCACAGATGTTTGGAGAGACATACTGCTAGAAGAGAAGTGCTAGCAGATTATGATTCTTTGCTAAGGAGGCAGCATATTAAATTGACTTTATCTTGTGGTTCATGTGTGGCATTGAGCACAACAAAGCAAAGTTACCAGAATTTCTGTTCAGGACATCATTCACTGACACGTCTCTTCTAATCACATTTTCTAAACAGTCTGTAAGTCTAATTTATAACACTGTCACCATATGGAATGATTACTTCTCAACAAAAACTGAAAATCCTTTTAAAATTCTATTCCTTTAACAGACTGCTTCTTTAATACCACCAAGACAGCACTGTGATAGTACACACAAAAATGTTTTAAGAGCACCTTCTTCAGAAACAAAATGCAAAATACCATTATTTGAGACATTCTCCCACTTGAAATCCAACAGGAAGCAACAACATACCTACAAGTTGACACAAAAATCTCTTTAATGATCATCAGATTAATTTTAATAACACCATTAATAAAAACTGCAATTGCACCATTATAAGTGATTTTTTTTTTTCCTTCTTCCCCCTCTAAGAGTGGGCTGGAACAAAAGCAATACCCAGGTAACAGAAGACCTTGCTCAGCCAGTTCATTTCCAGCGCTTAAGTGGTCACGTCCAGTCAAGCAGAATCTCCACATCTGGCAGTTTATGCTTTGCTTGAAATCAACTTCCAGCAAGATGAGAGCGTGAAGACGTCCATCAGTGTCTCAACCACAGGCTGAACTTACTGATCTTTGTGTTGCAACTAACTCCTGCAAAGGTGATCTACTCATTCACCAACAAGTTGATGAAATTTATGACTAGCTGAATGACTACAGTAAGAAAAATTATCCTGTTGGTTCTACCTTATATAACATGGACTGGCAGTAATGGGAACAGGCAGTGCTTTTCACTGCAGTGACTTTGTAAAGGCTTTGAAGTTGAATTTATATTTTATTTTGTTATGACGAAGTTCAAGACACAAAGAGTGTCAACTACCTTAGCGAAAGGATTATAGGCTCTTCAGACAGACCAAACATTGCGCAGTGTGGAAGAGCTGACCACTCTGTACAACAAAGCTTTTTGGACATTTTATTTCACTTCTTTTTGTGATATGCAAAGAAAAGATAGCTATTAAATGACATCTTTCACGGTATAATTCGAACACATTAAAACAAATCAAGACTAAGAAAAAGACAACTAGTTCAAGTATTCCAAGAATGAAATCTGATTAGGTTGCTATTTATTACAAGACAGACCTAAGAAAGAATGAATAGCACCTGATAGCCTGTAAGCCACATAAGCAATATATGATCCTCAGGTTTTCACTCCTTAACACATGATGTAGAATTACCTTAACAGAAGTTCTTTGGGTAGTTTTTTGTTAATAAGGGCTTCATCATTACTTGAGAAAACCTGGAAACAGAAAGAAAAAAACATAATTTAAAAAAACAATATGAAAAACAACTTTTAGAGAGTCTTTTCACCTTCTATTTAGGTGTTTAATTTTTTTAAATTACTGTTAAAGTCAAGTTTTCATCATCTTAATTGGTAATACTGTAAAATTATTTCAATACACACAACAGGGCCACACCCACGCATACACCTGCTCTTCTCTAGTGCCAAGATTTAACTGCACAAAAACTGTGGAGCAACTTCATAGTCATTAAACAAGCAATCAGAAGCCACACTTACACCCCACCAAGTTTAAGCAGTAGTAAAGCTTCTAGCAATAGCAAGACACAAACATGCACTAGCAAAGACTTAAAGAATTTACTGCTACAGATATGACGGCAACTGCTATATAATCAAGGAAAACACCTCCAGAAATGCTACCAGAACTGAAAAATACCTCTTGCCCAGAACTTTGCATTACTAACATACCTTCTAAGAAAAAGAAAGTGGAGAGACTGAAAGAAAATGCCCAAGGGGAAAAGCAGGGAATGCTAATTACATAGGAAAACCTTTCTGCAAAAGGAGAAATCAACACTTAAATATTAAACAAAGGAGATACTGACCAGACTTACAACTTACTGTAGATACCTAGGCTTGAGAAATTTTGCCAGAGGAACATAGCAATAGCAAAACAGAAGCTGAATCAGAATTTAAGGAACCATGGCATAGACGGGAGGAAGTCCAAGTCACCAAGCAGTCACTTCCCCTCTAAAGCGAAGACCTTTATGGAGCCCATTTGTTGTTCACATTACCAGACAGAAGCTAGAAAGAGGGATCTAGAATAGCAGTTTTCTGAATGCCAAAAGGTAAATAGGAAATCCACGCAAAACAAACATGAGAAAAAAATGTAGAAGATATCTTTCCCCGTGTTTCACTAAGAACATGCTGTTCCTGACTCAAGTATCCAGGTATTACCCCACGTCCATCCTACCATCAACACCCATCACATACTTGATAACAATTTGCTTTGCTTCTAAGTTAAAAGACAAAAAAAAAAAAAAAAAAAAAAAAAGTGTGGTTCTGAAAAAAGGTACGTCAAGCAAAGAATGAAAAATAAAAGCTGAATACAAGCTTGTCTGTCTTCATAAGAAGAGAGGAGACAGCAGAAAGTACACAGCTGGGAATTCTGAAAATATCTCTCTAAAAAGAGGTTAGAAAAACTTCAAATTCCTTCTGGCTCCTGCCAAGAACCTTTTCTCTCTTCCAGTATATCCTAGGCTGACTTCAAGTCTAACTGCAATTCAATTTTGACACAACAGCAAAAGCCACTTTCTTCACCCACCACCTCTGCGCATGGTTATCCACACATCTAAGAACAATAGAACTGCCAGGTTTTAACAGGACAACAAGTTTAATCAACCTTCCTTTTCCTGCAACTGAGGCAGCAGCACAATTATTCAGACTAGTGACTGTAGACGTTGAGGGAAAAACACTGACGCATACGTATTTCAATAGGACAACTCTAGTTTCTTCAGAAGAGAGACATTCTTGGCTTTAAGCAGTTCCACATGGCTGACCACAGGTTCAGGTTTGCTGTGGTTCTGCTGTACATCCAACACCCCTTGTTGTTGGTATTTTCAGCGTTTACACTGAAATACACGATGTACATCCATACTGGGTTTAGACCTGGTTGACTGCTCCTGAGTTTGGCAATTCATAGATTTATGGATTATGTGCATATATGCCGTTTTAATATTATATGCTATTCACAGTTTGCAGCTTATAGCCTGAAAACAATGGTATATATTGGGAATATATTTCAGAACAGTCAAAACACAGGCTTAATTGTGTTTACTGCAGCACTTACTCAGAAAAAGGAGACATATATGCCATCCTCATAGAACTTAAGACCACTAAAGAGCTAAGTAGGGAAATATTCTTGTACATTACAGTTTTAAAAGATTAAGTTGCAAAAAAAAGGGAGTTACCTCAATGAGAGAACACAGGGACTGTGTTAAAACAAATGAGCAAACTTAGATCTTATTAATTCTGGTGCGGAATCTGAACATTCAGTATCTTAGAACACTAAAAATCCTCTTTCAACTTAATTATTCTATAGTTGCAGATAATTCCTCAAACGTTACGTCATCTAGAATACGCTTCCCACTTATATGCATAAATATGTATTTTAAAATATGACACCAAGCTGTGTGGTGCAG